CTTGGAGTGTCCTTTCAAAGTGCTGAAAGGTCACTCCAAGCACCAGCACAACTTGGAAAGGTATTGGCCACATATTCATGCTATGTTTTTTCTACAGTCAAATCTTTAAAGGGATGCTGTAGTTACTATAACCATTTAATCTCTTTGCACTGGTAATAGTGCCTAGAGTCCCCTGGCACTGTCCCTCCATTCAGTGTTAAACCATGTTCGAGCAGTTTACCCACAGTCCGTCCCCTCCTGGAGGTGGGGCTAAGGAGCACACTTCCTTGTTGTCATGCCCATTCATACCGTCAGTTAGAGCTCTGATTGGATAAAAGCAGTCAGCTGACACTTTCAACCAATCACAGTTGCTCCTTACTGCTAAGGCTAATACTTCCTCATTAGCCAAAGCAGCACAGAGGGGATGGGCTGCTGGGGACTCTCGTTTAGCATTAAAACATAAAAACATTGAAAACTGTTTAATGCTAAATGAAATGATGGTACCAAGGGACTCCAGACACTATAACTAGTTTAAGAAGATGAAGTAGACTCAGTGCCTACAGTGTCCCTTTACGTTAAAAACACAAAAATCTTTTGCAGCATAACACTACCCCTTGGCAACGCTCCCTCTTTTTACAAGACTAAATTCTGATTGGAAATACTTTGTGAAGCTCAGCCAATGAGAAATCACTATGTGTTAAGCTGCTGACTTAACTATGACTATGACCCACATCCAATCACAGTCCTCTATATAGTATTTCAAAGCCGTGCTAAGAGAACATGGGACAATTACTAAGAATGGCTGTGGGGATGATTCATGCCAGCAATTCAGCTCTGATCTCTGAGTACATAAACTGCTTACTTTCAAGATAATTTAATTTATTGTTTAGCTACGAGAAGCATTTCATTGGCTGCACACCTTGCATGCACATCTCATTTTGAAGAACCACTAAACACAGCCAGACCACTTCACCTCAATGCAAAACATTGCGATTTTGGAGAAGCTGCAATGTTTGCATTGCAAAGTTACAAGCACCTCTAGTGGCTGTCTTTCAGCAAAAGTCATATGACATAATGAAGTTATTATTGTTATTATTGGCATTTATATAGGAAACCATTGAATGTGATGCTTTCCTATGAAAAGCATTTACTTGGCTGCTTGAACATCTCATCCCCAACGTGCATGAACATCTCATCCCCAATTCTCCTCTGTGGGGAGCACTGGATTGGATGATCTCTGAGGAAGCAACGCCTCCATGTTGACTCCACCGGAGGCGGAGCCGGCAGAAGCACTGGGGAGTCTCAGCTCTGGAAAAAGGGTAAAAAAATCATTTAAATACACATTTTTATTGCTCATGGGAGGTGGGGGTATGCTATATAAAATTACAGGTTTGTATTCCTAATACATTAATGTTCCTTTAAGGAAAGGTATGGCTGCCTAAGGATGATCTGCAAAACATTGCAACTATTATTCCTCGGGAACTCACATAGTTAAGAGGTAGTAGTCATAAAGCAGCTGTTTGAGTTACTGTGTATCACACATTCATTATCACTATTGTTTTTAGTAATGGTATACTAAAAGTAATAAAGAATTGAGAACTAGAGAGGGAATACTCGTATCTGAAGGGAGCGACCAATTGTTTAAAACTGTTCTGTTAATGCAGAGCATGAACTATGAGTGTTTAACCTCTGAGCTGCTAGGTTCTGTACACTGGTATGTGACTATCCCGCAGGCAGTATGCATTAGCTCAGAGTGGGAATCCAAGTTATTCAAATGTTATGTGCAATGATTAACCCTTTCTTATATGACGTCTGAGAAAAAGTCCCAGATATGCAATTTATATATCTGTATCGGATGCAGGAACAATCCCAGTGGTGGGTGGTAGAATCTCTAAAATATACATTCTCCTTATGCACATTGTCCCTCTTTAGAGACGCAGCAACTCACTCCCACCCATTCTCCATGTGTCAGACTGATGTTATGCAGCTGGCTCCTGGACATTGGCCAGAGGCAGATACAAAGCTTTGTGGATGGAAACTGAGAATGTAGAGGATGGAGGATGGGGAGACATTGTAAGGGGGTGACAGGGGAGGACGGAGGATATACAAATTCCAAATTTATCTCTTGTCTTTAGAGGATTAATGGATTGTATTAAGACCTGGTTAATGTGACTCATCGAGGGATGAAGATCCATTATACAAAGTTTTGCATCAATTTATTCATCCTTTGCCGAGTTCTCAAGCAGAGAGTCTCTAGGGAAAAAAAAAAAAGAACTGACATTCATCTGATTTGTAAGCAAGTGCCAAAAAACATATAGTTAAAGGGAAACTGTAACTTTCAAAATTACAATTTTAGGTACAACAATTAAAATAAAGATAAACTCACCTTAAGTCCCATTCTGGAACAGACACTGCCCCTGGCTGTGATCAACAGTGATAATGATCTCAGCCAATCCAATGCTTCATCACAGAGAAGCATTGGGGGCTACTGCGAATGCACATCAATCACCACGCTGCACCAATCAGCAATTCCTTACAGAGATGCAGTAACACATGCAGAGTGTACAGACTCTTACTGAAGTGCTGTATCTGTGAAAAATGTGTCACTTTTTTCATTTTAGAGAACTAATAATTTCAGTTGAAAGCTACACTTTAATAAATGGTCACAGTTATACCTCCCTGGCTGTCGGCTAGACAGCCGTCCTGTTTCTTCCTGCTAAATTGAGCTAAACTGAAAGGCAGGCAATTGCCAAGAGCACCTATAATGCTTCTTAATGTGGACTCTTCAATAGCAGATATTGGGAATTCTGTGCTGGGGAAGGTGGGGAATTCATGCAGTCGCTGCAGAAACTGGATTCCAAACTTTAATAAAATGTAAAGCTTTGTTAAATTAGCACCACAAGAATGCAGCCAAGTATGTTTTTTTAAGAAGGTCCTAAGTGAGACTGATCCATTAAAAGATGACCAATTTCATCCACCTCTGCAGTGTCTTCTGATGCAGGCAGCTGCAGCAGTAGGGATTAGGGATCTGCATGGGCAAAAAATTTTGTTCGGTTCGGCTCTTCCGAAATTCGGGACTTCGGCAATTCGGAACTTCAGCAATTTGGTTCGGTTCGGCACTTCCGAAATTCGGGACTCTGGCAATTCAGCACTTCAGAAATTCGGGACTTCAGCACTTCCATAACCCTGGCCCTAACCCTACCCCTAACGCTACCCCTGGCCTTAACCCTACCCCTAACCCTAATCCTAACCCTTACCTTAATCCAGAGGCAGATCCAAAGCTTTGTGGATGGAAACTGAGAATGTAGAGGATGGAGGATGGGGAGACATTGTGAGGGGGTGACAGGGGAAGACGGAGGATATACAAATTCCAAATTTATCTCTTGTCTTTAGAGGATTAATGGATTGTATTAAGACCTGGTTAATGTGACTCATCGAGGGATGAAGATCCATTATACAAAGTTTTGCATCAATTTATTCATCCTTTGCCGAGTTCTCAAGCAGAGAGTCTCTCTGAAATAAAAAAGAACTGACATTAATCTGATTTGTAAGCAAGTGCCAAAAAGCATATATTTAAAGGGAAACTGTAACTTTCAAAATTACAATTTTAGGTCCAACAATTAAAATAAAGATAAACTCACCTTCGGATTTGCTTCGGATTTCTGAAAAGTGGCAAAACAGGAGAGGGAGGCAAAATTAAGGAAATGGTGACAGGAATCTAACCTAACCCTTACCCTAACCCTAGCCCTAACCCTACCCTAATCATACCACTAATCCTAACCCTACTCCTAACCCTACCCCTAACCCTACTAGGGGTAGGGGTAATGTTAGAGGTAGGGTTAGGGCTAGGGTTAGGGTAAGGCTTAGGTTATATTCCTGTCACCATTTCCTTAATTTGTCTCCCTTTCCTGTTTTGCCACTTTTCAGAAATCCAAAGCACTTCGGCAATTCAGTTCAGATCGGCACTTCCAAAATTCATGACTTCAGCAATTCGGCTAGGCACTTCTGAAATTCTATGATTCATCACTTCGGAAAAAACAACCTAGAAAAGAAATGTTAGGACTGCAACTTAGTAATAGAAAGGCCAACCCCCGGACTGCCTAAAGAGGAGGGAACATGACTGCTGGCTGGAGTAGTTGGCATGTTAACAGAATTGCTACAATGTGTGTGACAGGAACTAGGTGCCGGGAATTCTGGGAGAACTCACCAGTCCACTGTAGCACAGCCGAGGGATCCTGGTGGTGCTTTTTCTGTGGAGATTTCTGGTCAGAAATAAGGAAATTACATTAATTATTATATTAACTTAATAATGGTTTGAAAAGCTGACATGACTAGTGTAATGGTATTTATTAATTAATGACTTTACATCATAAAGAAAGCATATTTAGTGTAATGCTTTGGGGGCACCACTAGGGGGAGAGTGTAGGAAGACATGTGCTTCTGGCAGTGACATCACAGGCCAGCCTACTTACACTGAATAAAAACCAGATGTAGGAGAAACTCTGTCTCTTTTTGCCTGTACCTGACTGATCATGTAGTACCAGCTCTGACTTAGCCCCAGCCCTTTGGCTGGGGCCTTGTAAGTAATATGAATCCATTGTAACATTTAGCAATTGTAATAGCCTTTTGTATAATATTTAGCAACCAATAGCGTTTTGTGTAGTATTGTATTGTATAATTATTGTGATAAATTGACATTCCGCTAGCATCTGTTTATTTATTATAGTTATATTAAATATACATTTAATATTACAACGTTTTGTGTATTTTCTATCCACATATTCGACCATAATACCATGAATTAGAAAAATATTAATGTTGTTCCGTATTGCTTAATTATTATGTATTAAGAGATTAATATTCATATTTAAGTCACGACCACAACAACTAGGGAAGCCTTACTAACCCAGTTGCAAACCTTCCATAGGACCCATGGAGCGGACTCCTTCGCCTCCTTGTTGCAGGGTGTCGTGCCTGATGCTCAGCCTGTAGTACTGGTTTCTGATGTGGCTTCCCCACAGTCTGGAAGACGGCTCGTCACTCTAGGCCTCCATTCAGGCTGTCTCCTAGTCCTGTGATGCGTCCAAGGGCAGTACCAGAGGCTTCTCCGAGTCCAGGATCGAGCGCTGCTGGTTCGTGGCACGAAATGTCCAATTCCAGTGTGAGAAGGAGGTCGGGAAGAAGGCATCAATACAGGTTTTGGCCTTCTCCTCAAAATGGCGACTCGAGTCGGCAAGATGGCGGTGGATGGTCGGTGAGGTCTCGCAGCCCACGCTCGTCTCTTCAGGATCCACAGGAAATGACGGAGGAGCGTGCGACTGCACGCTCTGCTCGACGAACTGACGTGTGGCAGGCTAAACGGGGAGCGTACATAACGTCCGATTGGGAGAATTTGTGGACGTCACAGGCCCTAGTTTCGAATGAAAGTCCTGAATTGAACCGAACGACCAGTGTTCGAGAGTCGGAAGTCCGCGAACAGAGAAGATCGGAAAGTGTTCAGGAGGCTGTAAGTACTGAACGATCATGTGTGCATGGTGTTCAGCAGTTTGACAACACTGAACGCATGTGAAGGGCCTGTGTTCGGGAGCATGAAAGTGCAGAGTGCAGACGAATGGATGGTGTTCGGGAGATGGATGATGTTCCGGTGATCACTTCAGAGCTTCGCATGAGAGGGCCTGTTTGGGGGCCAAACAGAGAGGCAATTTGGGAGATCTTCGACAGTTTGATTCGCAACGACTTCAGGATTCGGGAGTGGATCAACAGTTTGATCCTCATAGACATCAGGATTTGAATGATGGAACCAGCTGAATGTCTGCTGCAAGTGCAAGTTGGCTGAGAAAGTTCCTGTCAATTTGGTAGCTCAAAGAGTGGACAGACCGGACTCTTGGCAATCTGCGCAGTTACAGTCCGGGTCTAATATCCAGCAAGGCGAAGTCAAAAGTCTACTTAGGGCAGTCTTAGATATATTAACTCCTGGTGCAGCGCATACAGGTAGCGGCTTCTCTCGATTCTGCTTATGGTGAAAGTTCCATTCCTATGGTAGTGGAGGCAACCGTTAATGCCCCCTCACTTGGTCCAGTTTGTTAAGTGTCCCCATTGGGTCTCCATGTTCCTAAGGAGGTTAAGGAAAAAAATTTGGAGGGTGAGTTTGTAGACCTGTTATCTCTCGTACTGCTGAAACTGTGGACAGACCGCGTTGTGGTGATCCATTGGAAGGAGAAAAAGGTAAGGAGTTTCCTCAGAACTTCGGATCTTCAAAAAATCAGCTTCAAGGTTTTTCACTTTTGCTAGTATCCTATCAAGTAAGTTCCCAGAGCGGGCCCCTTTCCTGTTTGATTACTTGGGCTTAATCTGGGGGGCTAACAAAATCTATGGGGGTCAATGTTGGTTCAAATATGACCAGCAATTAAGACAAAAAATGGCGGTTTGCCTAATGCGGATTTCAGTATATTCAGGAAAGGAATCTATCTTAGAGGATAAATTGAGGAAGGAAGTGAGCTTAAGTCGTATAGCTGGCCCCTTTTCCCACGCGCCATCTGACAACTTGCGGGTTTCCCCTCTGGCTTTGGTCCCTAAAAAAGAACCGGGCGCTTATCGGTTAATTCACCACCTTTCCTTCCCCATTAGTTCGTCAATTAATGATGGCATATGATGATATGATTGTCGGGTTCGATATGCATCCTTCAACAGGGCATTGGAGCTGGTTTGCAACGCAGGGCAAGAGGCCCTGCTAGCGAAATCCGATATCCAATCTGTGTTCCGTTGGTTACCGGTTCATCTGGACTGTTTTCATCTTCTGGGTTGCCAGTTTCAGGGTGACTTCTTTTTTGACATGTTTCTCCCCATGGGTTGTTCTATTTCATGTTATTATTTTGAGTTGTTTAGTTCCTTTCTAGAATGGGTCGTGCATTTCGAGTAGCCTTTCTCTCCTTCACTACCTTGACGACTTCTTGTTCGTCGTCCCAGTGGATTCTCTGGCCTGCCTATCCTTGTTAGGTCAATTTCATGAGGTTATGTTCGATTTAGGTGTTCCCATCGCGGGAGATAAGACGGCCGTAGCATGGTTATCCCCTTTTTGAGAATCGAAATCGATTCAGTCTGACATGAGTTTCGTCTTCCGGAAGATAAATTGTGGGTATTGTCGTCCATGGTGGATTTGGTTCGGGGTTCCCGAAAAGGTTCAGCTTAGACAACTACAATCTCTCCTGGGACACTTACATTTTGCATGTCATGCCTATGGGTAGGGTATTTAGCCGGCGGCTCTCACTATCGACGGTGAGTATTTGGCTCCCCTTCCACTTCATTCATATAATGCAACGGTTAAAGATGAATTTGGGTGTGTTGAGAGATTTTTTTTGTCAGGATATAAAGGTCATACCTATTGGAGTACAGAATCGGTATCAAACTCTACCTTGGAACTGTTCACCGACACTACAGGATCTATCGGTTTCGGTGCATATTTCCAGGGTCACTGGTGTGTGAGTCGATGGCCTTCGACTTGGACTGGTGAAGACTTTCTTCTTGGAATTGTTTCCCATCATTGTGGCAGTGGAGCTATGGGGTGCAGTTTTTTGCGAACACGCAGGTTCTCTTCTGGACGGACAATATGAGTGTTGTCCATGTGGTAAATCGGCTGTCATCAGGGTCTCCTCCAGTCTTAACTCTGTTACGGCAATTGGTGTTGCGATGCATAGAATATAACATATGGTTCCGTGCAGTTCATGTTCCAGGGTTCGATAATTATATTGCGGATACTCTGTCTCGTCTGCAGTGAGATAATTTTTACAAAGTAGCTCCGAGAGCCGACGTGACAGGCCTGACGTGTCCAGACTTCTAATAGAACCTTGATTTCGGAACTTAACAGAACTAATCGAGGGTCGTTGGCTCCATCTTCATGGCAGGCATATGGGTCGTATGGGAACAGTGGATCAGTGGTTCAGTAGGGGAGTTCGATTTATCATCATCCAATGGTAGGTTGTGCGCTATGATGACTTTTCTGTACTCCCCGCATTCTGCCGGAGCATCAGTGGCTTTAGTAGAACGTAACATGTCAGCCCTTTCCTTTCCAGCCCTTTCCTTCCTTATGCAGTTTACGCGATGGGAGGATGTTACTAAGTCATTCCTAAATCAGCGAATACTATAGGGTTGGAGGAGGGCACGGGTGGAGGACATACGTCGTCCGCTCTCCGTCCCCTTACTTAAAAATCTGTGTGGGGTTCATCCATCAGTTTGTTTTCCCCCCTTTGAAGTTCTTCTCTTTTCCCTGTATTTCTATGCAGCCTTGCATATTGGTGAGTTAGTTGCCCCTAGAGCCAGTAGTGCCTCAGCGATGTCTCTCTTGGATATTACCAGTGACCAAAGCTCAGTGGAAGTCTAAAACTGATCAGTTAGGGTCTGGTCGAGCTATTAGAATTGATGCTACTGCAGGTGCCTACCTCGGGTTCGCCCATCCTGGGAGGGTTCTTTTCTTATCCATGAGGACGGGTCAGTACTCATGCGCTCACAATTTTTGGTCAGCGTTGCGCTCGCTGGGGGTACAGGATAGTGGTTACTCCCCCTATTCTTTTTGCACAGGCATGGCTACTCAGACTAGCAGGTTAGGGTTATCAGATGAAGCTATTCAGTGTTTTGGTCGATGGAGCTCTTGCAGATTTCCCTGATATGTGCATCCTCACTTATTGTAGGCGCTTGGGGAGTAATAACCATTTATCTGTTTTCCAGGTTCTGTCCGTTTTCTTTGGATTATAGGTCACTCCTTTATTTACAGGGCAGCTCGTCGGGCAGAGCAAAGACCATACGGCAGGAATCTGGGGTTCTCTCATGACCTGGTAGGGTAAAAGGGCACGGGATAAGGGGCCTCAGATGGCATCAGATTTACACGGAATGCGTAGCCCTCTGGGTTTTGTTTCTAGTCCTGTGATGCTGCTTATCCATGCAGGGGGTACTGACTTGGGGATGGGTCGTACCGTGGACTTAATCCACATATGTAAACACGATTTGGCGCGCTGCTGTGCATTATTTCCCAGCTTGATGTTAATTTGGTCGGAGGTGGTTCCCCGTCCCTGTTGGCAATCCTTACCTAACGCTAAGGCCCTGGAGTGGTCTCGTCGTTGGCTCAACTTGACAATATCAAGATTTGTTCGCAGTTTAGGGGGCCTGGTGATTTTTCATGTTGAGCTGGAGGGCAACAATTGTAACATGATGATGAATGATGGGGTTCACCTCAACCCCATTAGACTAGATATTTTTAATATGGGTTGTTAAAAAAGCACTGGCTTCAGGGGGGATGCAGCCTTTCCCAGTTTAGGGCTCAGGCTGCGAAGGCAGGTTTTCCTGCGCCAGCAAATTATGAAAGGACACTGCCTGGATGGGCTTGGGGAGACACAGCCTGATTTGGTGGAGCACGAATGACAGGCTGAAGAGGCTCTGGTTTTAAAGTTATGCTATCTGTCTGCTGGATCATACCAACAGCTGACAGTGGTTGTTTGCTGGTTGTTGGAAAATAAAGCTGTGGCTGTTGCCCTTACCCATTAATATGGTTGTTGTTTTATTATTTATTGGTGGAAATAGTTTACGGAGGTATCAGCAGTCAAGGCCAACCCCCGGACTGCTTAAGGAGGAGGGAACATGACTAGTGGCCTGAGTAGTTGGCATGGTAACAGCATTGTAACAATGTGTGTGACAGGAACAAAGTGCCGGGAATTCTGGGAGAACTCACCAGTCCACTGTAGCACATCCGAGGGATCCTAGTGGTGCTTTTTCCCCGACTACCCTCCTGTTTAGGTGGGATGGTAGGATGTATTATTGGATTGTTGTTTGTGTGGTTGTTTGTTTTCTCCTTTTGTCACAACTGCCGGGTTTTTCTGCACCAGCAAGTTATGAAAGGACACTGCCCGGACGAGCTTGGTCGCAGCCTGATTTGGTGGATCACGAATGACAGGCTGAAGAAGCTCTAGGTATAAAGTTATGTTATCTGTCTGCTGGGTCAAACCAGCAGCTGACAGTGGTTGTTTGCTGGTTGTATGAAAATAAAGCTGTGGCCGTTACTCTTACCCACTAATATGGTGTTGTGTTATTTTTTGGTGGGAGGGGACAACATGGAATATTTTATGGAGGTATCAGCAGTAATGCCTGTATTATATTCTAAACTGCAAATACAGGGGTAAAGTAGAATATCAGTGCATTCTATTAATAAACAAAGAAAAAGAGGTTGGATCATGCAAAATGTAGTCGTGGACCGAAACAACTGAGAGTAGCACCCTCACAAGTACAAGGAGCTGTGTAGCCAGAGCCGTCAGTGCCCTAAAAGTCAACTGCAGCCCTGTATTACAAAGTGAAGGTAGTACTAGTACTATGCAAAACTATATTCATGGAAGAAAGGTAGCAGCAGCAAGTACACTGAGTGATATAGAGGAGGGTCAGTCAACACTACTGATGTCACCAACTATTACTTGTAGATGTAATCTTTTCACTTACCACCAAAAAGCTTTGAAGAAATTTTTATAGACTTGGAGCATGGGGAATTAAAAAGTGGCACCTTTTATTAGGAGATTGAAGAATGAATTGAAA